AAAAACAAAGGTTAGTAGGTCTAAGTCACTGAGTGAGAAAGTTTTGGGCTTTTCCAGAGTAAGATCATCATTTGTAACCAACTAAGTTAGTTACTTCCAAGACAGGTAGGTATAAAACATGTGTGTACGAAGGTATCAGTTACGTGTTGATGATGAGTGGACATATCCATACACAGACATGTATAGCTGTGCTTATAAACCAGAATATATTTTCATGTACTTACAAGTGTAGGATATATAAAGCAATTGGTAACAGAGGTGAGAGAAACCTATGAGGCTATAACAGAAAGAAACTAGCATTTTATTTTTTCTCTTACTGTGCCTTTCCATTTGAACCATTTGAAGTTTGTATTGGTTAAAAATTAACTAATTAAAAAATCAGTGTAGGGATAGAAAGATAGCTCAGCAATCTAAGCACCTGCCCGGCAAGCACAAGCACAAGGACAAGGACTGAAGTTTGATCCCTAATATGACATACCAAGCCGGCCACCAAAACCGGGCATGGTGGCACACACCTGTAATCCCAGTGCTGGGGAGGCTGAGACAGGAGACCATGTACCAAGTAAATAAAAAATTATTAGTATTATTTTTTTCTTTTTTTGGCGGAACCAGGAATTGAATTCAGGCCCTTGCGCTTGCCAGGGAAGCGCTTATTCCACTGAGCCATATCCCTGGCCCCTAAATAAATAATTAAAAGATTTTTTTAAATAAAAGAAAAATAAATTTAATGAGTTTTCCAAATTTTAATCTGATTTTAACACTATTTGCATCGTGGGGCCAGTCATTTTCATCTGACTTTCTTCTGTGAAATGACTAAAGTTATTCTCCGAAATTGTTGTAAATTAGGTACTGACCTGTGATCTTTGTCATATGTGGAGATTGAGACATTTGAGGCCCACTAATATTTCAGATTATTCCCATGTGACCTGAGTAACAGATATAACCTGGACCATTTTGGATTTAGGTGTAACTAAGAATAGTCTCTTTGTCTCTGCCTTGCACTTTAAGTAACTACTTTGATTTTGTTGTTCTCTTTATGAAATTTTGTTTTATTTTTCATTAAAATTTCAAAAGAATATAGTCTGTCTACTGACATGAATATGTGACATAGTGAATTTATTTTTTTGCATAGTGATTTAAAATGCACAACAAAATATTTGCATATCCACTACACCGAAGGCAGTCTGTTAGCTCTGTTCTGTCTTCAGACTTTCTTACCCGCTTGCTAGAATCATTGTGTTATAATCTGTTTTTAACTGCACCTCTATTCCATATTCACCTCCTTCTAATCTTTTTTTATTTTTGAAGACGGGATCTCTCTATGTAGTTCAGGCTGGCCTTGAGCACTAACTGATCCTTCTGCCTGAGCCTCTCAAGTGCTGGGATTACAGCATGTGCCATCATGCCTGACCTTTAATCTGTTTTAGACAGTCCTGTCAAATTAATCTTTTTAGAGAAAATTTCTAATCTTGTCACTCTTAGCTCAACAATTTCAGTGCCTCCCAGTTGTTTCAGATTTATGTGAACTTCTAGGCTAGTATTAGGGGGTTTGCTATCTTCTTTTACTTGCTGTTTTCCTTCTCTTAATAAACGTGCTTTAAGTGTTTGCTCTTTGGAGACTGAAGCCTTTGTTTTGCTTCCTCTGTACCTTTGCCAGGACTTTTTTCGTACCCTAAAACACCCTTGCTCATGTGTCTCCGCATCTACTCAGTTTCTGAACCACTTCTTGGTAGCTACTTTTTATTCTCCCTTTCCCCCGAAGCTGGAGTGGAAAAACTTTTTTCCTCCTAAAAGATTTCCTCCACTCTGAATTTTATTCTTATGATTGATACCAGATAAAATAACTGGTATCTGAATGTTCTGTGCATCAATGTCTGGGGCTTCCTAGATTTGGATAGTTAGCCTGATTCATATTTTATAGGCTTGATTAGAGGATACTGGGGCCCACCACTACCTGCTGTTTTGTGATACAGTTGCTTGTCTTCTCTCCACCAGTCTTACTCTCTTTTCTTAGTCCCATTTTCTTTTTCAGAACGTTTAGTTTTGCCCAGAAGAAGACTGGATGGAAAATGAGAACCATTTCCATTCTATTCAGTTTTCTGTTATTTTAGAGTTTTATTCTATATGTAGCTGTAGGAATAATTTTAATCTTTGCATTTTGCATAAGGCCTTGCTTATACATCATAGATGTTTGAAACTATTCAATTTTCCATAATTTTTCTTTGGGTGGACAATAATGGGATCTGAAAAGAAAGTTCTACTTTCTTACTATGTAAGAAGAGTCAGGGGGCTGGGGAGATGGCTCAGTAGGATAAGCACTTGACTGGCAAACTTAAGGATCTGAGTTCAATCCCTGGTTCCGCACCAAAAAAAAAAAGAGTCATTTTATGTGGGATATTGGTCTCATTTCTGATTCTTTGCTTTTAATGGTATTAGCTATTTTACCTGTTACTTTTACCAAAATAAATCACATGTGAAAGTTTTTTGTTTTCTTAATTTTTTTTCTAGACCTTATGCACATATTCTCTCAGTTCCTGTTTCGGAAACTGCTTACCCTGGGCAGACTCAGTACCAGACACTACAGCAGCCTCAACCCTATGCTGTCTACCCTCAGGCAACACAAACGTATGGACTACCTCCTTTTGGTAAGGCACCGTATTTTGTAAGCAGTTTCTATGAATGTTGCTTTGCTCTTTCCCAAAAAAGCCAGCAAGACTGATTTGGAAAGATGCATCATCCTTTATGGAGTAGGTATTCAGTGATACGTGTGATAGAAGTTGAATGTACAACTTTGCAACAGTGTCTTTGAAATATATCAAGAAATCATAGTTTTTAATACCCATACTTATTTTGCCTTTCAAAATTTAGCTTTTTCCAGGGTTTTGACCCTGAAGCTTGAGGAAGACAAGTATGGAAAATTCTTTGAGGAATTAATGTTGCTTTGACTTAATTTATGACATGATACATGGTTAGGTAGGTATAATAAATATATTTTGAGGTGGCCAATTTTTGCAAACTGTAAACACTAAGTAGTATAAGTTTCTAAATAGGATGTACTTTATAGCTTACACAGTAGGGGCTTTAGGAGTTGGTTTTGTTTTTGTTTTATTTTGTTTTGGCTGATTTGTCCCTGTCTTCCTTCATTCTTCTCTACCCAAAATTGATGAAATATTATGTTGAACCAAAAATTCATCTTAGAATATGGAAAATCCCAACTTTCTATGCCTTTATTACATACATAGGGAGTTATTTTCATTAGTTTTAGGTATCTTGGACATTAACTATAACTCAGTGATTACCTAAAGTTAGTTGGAAGTTCTTTGAGCATTTAGTGTTTATGAATTTTTTCTGTTGTGTATGAATTGATAGATACATGCAGTTTATTTTACTGCCCCTTCTGTGTTCATGCTCCTATCAGAAAATTTTGATAGAGAAAAAATTGTCTTTGTAGACTTCATTTAAATAAATGAGAAATTAGAAAAAATTTCTCCAAAAACCCCACCACATACATTTTATATTATTAGTGTTGCCTTTTGATTTTTATGTTTCTGGTTTTCCTGATCCATTTGACTAATTTTTTTATTAGTGACAGCTTTCTTTCTTTTCTTTTTTGCAAAGTGACACCTTTCTTAATTTTAGTCTTACTAGCATCCTTTGTCTCCTGATAAGTGTAAAACACAAAACTTTAGGGTAAGAAAAAAATTTAGCAGTACTAGGGATTGAACAAGGACCCTTTGCACTGAGCTATATCCTCAGCCCTCTTCTGTTTATTCTTCTTTTCTCTTCCCTCTTTGTGGGAAATAGAGTCTTGCAAAGTCATTAAGTTGCCCTGACTGGGCTCAAATTTGCAGGCCTCTGCCTTAGCCTCCCGGAGTGCTGAGATTTCAAGTATGCATGTTAGTGATATATTTAATCAGTCAACTCTGAAATGTCCTTTTAGCAGAAGAGCCATTTGAAGCCAGGTGTGGTGATACATACCTGTAATCTCAGCAACTGAGGAGGATGAGGCAAGAGGATCATTTGCAAGTTCAGACCAGCCTGTGCTATAGTGAGTAATTTAAGGCCGGCCTGAATTACAGACTGGGACTGTCTCAAAAAAAAAAAAAAAAAATATTGTCCTTTATAACATTGTTAAACAGTTACTCCTGCTGTTAAATATTAAATAAAATTTCTGTTGTCTATGAACTCATTTATGGAATACCTAACACATGTCATTTGAAGGATATAGATCCTAGGTATTGTGAGGTCTTTTATGATTATGCTTCCATTTAATCTGTTTATTAATTATTATTATTATTATTATTTGTATTTTAGGGAAGGGTCTGCAGGATGTTCAGGGTCTCACTACTAGATCTGACTGGTAGTGACCCACCTGTTTACAGCCTCCCAAGAACTGGGATTATAGGCGCATGCCATCACACCCAGTCTCAATCGCTGTCTCAGTGTGCTCTGGGGGTGGAGCTGGCACGGCATGCCCAGGGATCAAACCCGGGCCCCTGCACCTTCTTGCAAGTGCTTTCATCTGCTAAGCTATTTGGCTGGCCTATCATCTCTGTTTAAAACCTACAGAAAACATTTTTTTGTACTGTAGAGAAAAATCATAATAATGTGTTCCTTTAACCTGTTTTTGTTTAATATCTGGGGCAAGAAAGACTTCTGCTACAAGATCAATTGTTCTGTCAATAATTGAGAGAAGCCAGGCATGGTGATGCACACCTGTAATCCCAGTACTCGGAAAGTTGAGGCAGAAGGATCATCAAAAGCTAGTTTAAAGCCAGTCTGTACTACATAGTGAGATCCTGTCTTAAAAAAAAAAAATAATAATTTGATTTTGATATATAAAATGTACTAGGCTGGGATATAGCTCAGCACATCACCTGCCTGACAAGTGCCAGGTGCTGAGTTTGATTCCTGGTACAAAAAGGGAAAAACAATTTTTTTTTAATTTTTTTTTTATTTTAGGGAATGGTCTACAGGGTATTCAGGGTCTCACTACTATATCAGACTCATAGTGATTCTCCTGTTTACAGCCTCCTAAGTGCTGGGATTACAGGCACGCGCCACTACACCCAGTCTCAATTGCCATCTCAGTGCGCCTCGGGGGTGGGGCCGGCATGGCAGGTCTGGGGGATTGAACCCCCGGACCCTGTGCTGAGCTATTTGACTGGCCCTCAAAAAGGAAAATCTTACTATAGAGGGTTTGGGGTAATGTAAATGACAGATATGGCATGTTCTCCCAGTTTCTTAAAAGGTTATAGTATCTTTAAAAGGTATTTTGTGTTTTAACACATGGCTTTTTTTGAGTAATGTGTTCATTTTGTTATAAGAAAACACTTGAAGGGGCTGGGGAGGTGGCTTAGTGGAATAAGCGCTTCCCTGGCAAGTACAAGAACCTGAGTTCAATCCCCAGTTCCACCAATAAATAAATAAATTAATTAATAAATTAAAAGAACTTAAAATACCATCTTAAAAAAAAAAACACTTGATTTCTTTTGAAATCAGGATTTTGTTAATCAGTACTGCCTATTTTCAGATTAACTAGTCTATTTTATTTCAGATGTATATAGGGCTTCAGAAGGTTTCATTATATTAATATATTTATTAAGTTCTTACTAAACCAATCAATATGCTAAGAATAAGTACTTCATACTTCCTATTATTGTCTCAATTTCCAGATCAACCTTAGTTCTAAGGAAGTAGTTGCATCCCCTTTTATAAATGGAGAAACTGAGGCTTGATTAAGTCACTAACCCAGAGTTATACTACTAGTAAGTGCCTGGAATTAGACTAGAATTTAGATCTGTTTAATTCTAGAGGATCTCATAAATTTAGGTCTCTTTTAAAAAGATTGCCTCAGATTTGAGTTTGAAATTAGAAAGATTCCTCCTCTTAAAGTAGAAAAGACTAGAAATCTAGGGAGGAAAGGGTAAATTAGAGTAATCAAATTGTTTCTTTGGAGATACGCAGAAATGGAGATCAGAGTTGTAATTTATAGAGATCTAAAAGAATGTGTGTGAAGAAAAGGATGTCCGTTTATTCATAGGGGTTTATCCAGTGTGCCTTTAGCTGCTGTTGATTTGATTTTAAAAGAACTTTAATGTGAGTGGAAGATTTTGGATATGTAGTAAGAGCCTTAAAGATGGTTCATTCCATTTTTCTCAGTAATTTCACTTTTGGGAATTTATCCTTTGAAGCTAATTAGATATTCAAATATTTAGTTAACCAAGCTATTCATTGCAGCATTATTTATAATAGCAAAAATTGGAAATAATGTACATACAGAATAGAAAGGTGGTATATGTTAAATTTCAGTGTATGGGTGGAATTTAGTGACTGTTATATATAGTATTCTTTTTTTGTTTTTGTTTTTGTTTTTTAGTAACGTTAGAGGTAGAACCCAAACGTACTTTAACCACTGAGCTACCTCTTCTTTTATTTTTTATTTTAAAACAGGGCCTCACTTTGTAGTCCAGGTGAGACTCAAACTTACAACCCTCTTGCCTCACTCAGTCTTTGGTGCTATGATTACAGGCATGTGCCACCACTCCCAGCTATACATAATATTCTTAAAAGATATTTGGAGTCTACAGAAAATATTTTTATTAATTGGAAATGATAGTATATAAACAAAACATCAGCTTATTATTTTTACAGATATGTGCACAGAAAATACTTTTGAAAGGAAGTAGTGTGGATTTTAACTTATAGGCTATAGATTTCATGTCAGTTATCAAAGAACTGCAAAAAAGGATGTTGTTCCTTTGTGTAGAGGTTTCAGTTAACAAAGTAAAAGTGAGAACTGGTTTTACTTGTTCTGTGTGGTAAAAATACATTTTTTTAAAGTTTCTTTATATTTACCATATTCTCTTAATTTTCTGTAATATGTATCTATTTCTTTCTCTTGTAGTTCAGGCTGGCCTGTAACTTACAGCAGTCTTTCTCCCTCAGCCTCCCTAGTGCTGGGCACCACACCTGACTACATCTACTTTATAATCAGGGAAGGTACTCAGATTAAGCTACTTAGTATATGCAATAGTTCATCTGAATGAGCTAGTCAGTCAGCCAAGATGTTTTTTTCATGTAATTTTTTTTTGTGGGGGGAGCTAGGCTCAGACCACCCTGAGGGGTGGGTGAGGCTGGTGTGGCATGTAGTACTGGAGATAGAACTGCGGTCCCCTGCTCCTGCCTAAGCTTGCCTAAGCAGGCGCTCTAGACCGCTGAACTGTCTTGCCAGCCTCATGTAATTATTTTTGACATTGGTGTGTATTTCACTTCCTAGTCTAATTAATCTCTGAAGGTCCATTGTTCTGATATGTTTTACAATAAACTGAATGGTCAGATTGGTTCAGTTAGAGTGGTGGAGTTTCTAATAAGACCCCACCCTGGGGCAGCAGGAGGGAAATACTGTACTCAGGGACTGACTTCCCATTGTTAGGCTAATAGTCTTCCACAGTAGGCTTCTGGACCTAAAAGTGCTGAACAATCTTAGTTGCAGACGGAGAGCAACAGATTAATAAGAGTCAGGAAATCAGAGTTTGGCTTCCTCATTTGCTATTAGCACTAGTGCTAGAGAGTCAACTCATTTGGTCATGCTGCTTATTATCTGGAATTCTGATGACTTCAGAAAAAGATACTTAAATGTTCCTTAAAATCCGGGAGACTGGGCTGGACATACAGTTCAGGGGCATAGCACCTGCCCTGAAAGTGCAAGGTCCTGAGTTCTATTTCCAACACACACACACACACACACACACACACACACACACACTGAGGGCAACTGTGATGCTGGAGACAATATTCATATTGTCTTCCTCAAATATAATTATATATTAAATATGTTAGGTTTTCCAAAAATGTTCAAAATTAGCTATTCCACTTATTTTAGACAAGGTTTACCCTTGTAAGAGGCACCTTAACTTTTGACCTTCTAAGAACAACCAGCTTAGAGACATTCTACAATTTGAAGCTTTCAAAATGTATATTAAATAATGAGGCTAACAAGTAATTCTCTTTGATACTATTGTTAGATAATTGTGTTAGTATAGTAGAGTAGGGCTAGAGGGATAGCTCAGTAGAATAAGCACTTGCCTGGCAGGTGCAAGGCCCTGAGGTCAATCCCCAGTTCTGAGAGAAAAAAAGTATAGTAGAATAATAAATATGTTCACAAATCTTGTACCTTGGGATCAAAACCTGTTTGGAAGAAGAAATTGCATTCTTCACAATAAATCTGGAAGTTATTTGGACACTTAAATGGTAATTTGCTTACCAAAATCTGGTAAATAATCAACAAGAATGATGGCATGACATTATAAATATTTAAACAATATTTTCAAATATTTTTGTCATTGAAATTTAAACATAGCAAAAAAATGTTAGTACTGCTTAACCTGGACAAATGATCATGAACTAAATGAAAAAGTCAACGTTCCTAATTCATACTTAGAGATGCTAGTATTCCGCTGCCTCCTCAAAGAGTGATCAATAAATAAGACAATATTAGCTGGGTACAGTGGTGCACACCCATAAACCCAGCTCTGCGGAGGCTGAGGCACAAGGATCACGAATTCAAGGCCAGCACGGGCTGCATAGTGAGTTCAAAGCCATCCTGAACTATACAGGAAGACCTTGTCTCAAAAAAAAAAGTTTGGGACAAAGCAGTGCCTTGTCCTGTGGTCATATCTCTTCGCTATTCTTACATTTACTCACAACAGATTTGACAAATCTGAATTGCACTGAGGTATCTTAGCACCTTACTGAAGCAGAAGTCCTCATTATGAAAGTATTTATTGCATATACTAATTGACTGTAGATTTCTTATCAAATTAGAAGTGAAGTGAATTAATACTGAATATGAAGTCATGACTAACTTTAATACTGTGTTTATACATGGAATGTGTTTGGTGATGAACTTCCTTAGACCTTTCCATTTTTATTACACTAGTTCAACAACTGTCTTTATTCACAACACAGTGAAAAAATAGGCAACCTGGTTTTTATGCTAAAAAAAATGCTGTTGCATAGCTAAAATGATCCCCAAAACTGTGTGTTTATGGTATTGCACTCACAAAGAATATCCTTAGGCCCTCTTACAAAAGCTTTCTTCTTGGGGGCTGGGGATATAGCTCAGCAGCGTAAGCACCTGCTGGCAAGCGCAAGGTCCTGAGTTTGATCCCTGGTACTGCCAAAAAAAAAAGAAAAGCTTGCTTCTTAATTTCCTAGTTCACTGTTAAGTTAAAAAGGGAGTTGCAATTAAGATGGCACATAGTTAAGATTGTAAAGAAGTGAGGGGCTGGGGATATAGCTCAGTGGCACAGCACCTGACTGGCAAGCTTAAGATCCTGAATTCAATTCCCAGTACAAAATAAAGAGAAGTGTCACACCATTAAAACCTAAAAATCATAGAACTGTGAGTTCAATTTAGTAATAAGCAGTAGCCTTCATATATTGCAGTAGCTTCAATAAGTGTCTCTATGACACTTTTATAGCATACCACAGTGCTGACCTTTGTAAAAATAGTTCTGAGAGGGCCAGGAATATAGCTTAATAGCACAAGCATCTCCCTGGCATGTGCAAGGTCCTGAGTTCAATTCCCGGTACCAAAAAAAAAAAAAAAGTTAAATAGTTCTGAAGAAACCTAATGGCTATTTCTTCCATGCCAGGAAGGTGGGATATAAATATATTTTAGAAAGACTTTCAGTCAGGTGCCTTGTGATTAAAAAAACAAAATGGGTATAATGTTTATCAGTATAATATAGATTTATATATTCTGACATGGAATGATGTCTCTCAGAGGTATTATGTGGGAAAGTGAATTATGAATGGTACACACAACATCCCATTTTTGTTAAAACAAAAGATCAACCAGGTGGTGGCGCATGCCTTTAATTGTAGTGTTCTGGAGGATTGTCATGAGTTAAAGGCCAGTATGGACTACATGGTGAGACTTGTCTCAAAAAACAAGGAAACAAAGTAAATGTGTAAAAGAGTTATGGATGACTCTTTCGTAAACTATTAATATTAATGGTAGTTAAATCTGGATGTTAGAAGTGTGTGTGACTTTTTCCCTAAGTTACCTATTTCTGCAATATTTTAAATTTATAACAAAAAGGCATGTCTTCCCCAATCAGAAGAAATAAGCCAGGCAGAGTGACACATACCTATAATCACAGCATTTTGGGGGGTTGAGGCAAAGAACAGCAAGTTGAGGCCAGCCTGGACAACTTAACAAATTTAGTGATACCCTGTCTCCAAAGGAGTGAAGAGATCCATGATATAGCTCATTGTGAATGTCCTGGGTGTTGTGGAGAGAGACAGAGATGCAGACAGATACACAAAAGAGAGAGGGGAGACAGAGACTGAGAAAAATAGAAACAAAGATTAATTACAAAATAATCAGATAAAAAAAACAGAAGAATTTAGCCAGGTAGGTGATGTGTAACTATAACGCCCAGCAATGGAGATGCTGGGTTCAGTCAGTGCTACATAAGTTCAAGGCCAGCCTGACCTACTTAGAAAACCCTGTCTCGAAAAAAACAACAAATAAATAAAAAAATAGATAAATTTAACACATTTTGAAAAATTTAGTGTTTGTTTAATAGGTAAGTGAATTTTAAACTTATGTGGAGAATCTCCCACCTTGACAATTTGGATAAATGATTTATCACTGTACATGAACATCAGACATTCTTTATGACAAATAATCTAGTTTGATGTCAATAACTTTTTCTGAACCCTGATCAGTTACCTCAGGTATTGAAATGAACTTACATTACATACCACTATTGGGATTTTTAGCAAAAATTTTGTTTCTTTGACCCCATCTACTAGTTCTTTGAAAGTGTATTTGCTTGTGATGTATTGCAAATGGGAAAATCAATAATTTCCTCTTACAAGCAAATTTATTTTTCTTTTGAGATTTAGATTTTAAACCTACTGGCTGCTACTTGAAAGCATAACCATGCTCCTCAGTCCCAGTGTATTGTTTGTAATTGGTCCAATTTATCTGATTCAGGTGCGTTGTGGCCAGGTATGAAACCTGAAAGTGGTTTAATTCAGACTCCATCTCCAGGTCAACACAGTGTTCTTACCTGCACTACAGGGTTAACCACAAGCCAGCCAAGCCCAGCACATTATTCTTACCCCATTCAAGGTAAATAGGCATGGTTGTGTATGTGTCTTAATTACTATTGAGTTTTTTTGTTTGTTTTTAATTTACCTGTATCTCCAAACAAATTGGATAATACAGGAGTGCTGTCTTGTAAAACATAGAAAGCAGTGATATTTGCATCTTTGCATGCTTTTTGTGTTAGGCAATACAGAACCAAAGAGTGTGGTTTGCAAGTAGTTTTAGCCTTTGAATGTGAGCTGCTTAATAGAGTTAAAGCTTTCCCTTTTGCATGTTGGTGCTGAAATCTCTTAAAGGTATTCTGTCCTGTCAATGAGAAGACTACAATGAGTGAGAATTTTGCAGACTTTTATGTGAACTGTCAGGGTGACATTGTAAGGTGCGTATATTTTTCTACTGTGGCTACTGTGGCTTTGTTGCCTTGTAACCCCATTTGCTACAGTACTTCTTAGGCATTTTTCTTGCTCAAAAAGTTCATTATTGTTTGTATTTCAGTGTAAAAAATGTAGCATTAAACTCAAACTCTAGATAATGTTACCTTCCCAAGTTTCCTAAAAGGTAAGGATTGTATCAGGACTATAGGGAAAAAGACAAAAAACTCAAAAGGCAGTATGGAATCAATTGTCTACCCTTCCAAACCCAGGGTAGGGAGTTCGCCATTGCTCTACACTGGGAATTAATTAACAAAATCCTGTCTTTTCATCTGCCTCCTTTCTCGTGGTTTCTCCCAGGTGTTTTCTGAGCTTTTAAATTTTATTTCTTATAATGGTAATAGGATATACAAAACCTGTGTGAGGTTCTTAAGATAATGAACTGGTGATAAGAAAAATTTTAAAATACATTAATTTTTTTTTTTTTTTTTAATATTCAGTATTAACTGTTCTCAGTTAAATTTGGGAGAATTGCTGTTTGGTCCCCTGGGAACAGAACTAATACACACTATATTTTGATGACCTTGATCTGAGTTGTCTTTATTTCCTGTTTATCGAATCTTTCCCCCTTTCTCCACCTCCCTTATGTTTTATTGCCATCTATATTTCTAAGATGGAAACAAATTAGGAGGGAAAAACTCAAGAGAAGGACTTTGTCTACACTTTCCCACTCCTCCCCCCACTTTTTCCTTCCCCTTTTCTTGAGACCATGTCACTGTGTTGCCTAGGATGGCGTTAAACTCCTGGGCTCAAGTGATCTTCCTGCCTCAGCCTTCCAAGTGCTGGGATTGATTACAGATGCATGCCAGCACCCCTGGCCAGGGCTGCTTCTTTATTCCAGTCCTTTTTTCCATAATGAAAAAAATGCAGTGCATTATATGTGTGTTTTGTTTTGTTTTGTTGAAGTGGTCGTGATAGCAATATCTACTCAGCTCAACCCTAAACATTCTGCAGTTGACCACCCAACAGCCCATCTTCCCTGGGGAAGTTAGCAGAATTTTCTCAAAAGCTAAATTCTTCTAGTTTAACTCTAATCAAAACGTATTCTTTAGTTTATACCTGTTTTAGTTACATTTGTCTCATTGCTGGGACAAAATACTCGACACCCAAAATTAAGGGGAAAAGGCTTATTTAGCTCACAGTTTGTGGAGATTTTAACCCATATTCATCTAGCTTGAAGGCCAAGTGGCACTTGGCAGAGGGCAACAGTTCATGGCAGTGGGAAAACAATAAAGAGCAGAGGCAGGGGCAGCAGCTGTGGCTGCTAGCAGTCCTCTCTCCCCTTCTTACATTTGTATGCAGATTATCTGCTCCAGGGCGGGTGTAGCATTCACACTTATAATCCTAGCATTGGATCATGAATTAATCACAAACTCTAGAAGCTGCTCCATGACTGCCTGATGCTTTGGGGAGAGAACAAGACACAAACCGTAACAATACCTCATTGGTACTATAAGGAGAAATGATTGCTTTTGTATGCTGGAAAATCCTTTGAATATCTGACTTCTTTTGGGTTTTTTTGGTATGGGGAATAGAATTCATGACCTTGTGCTTGCCAGGGAGGTGCTCTGGTGCTGAGCTGTATTCCCAGCCCTTAAATTTTCTGTGTCTCCCAGTGTGGCAGTAAGATCTGATTTCTTTCTTTTTTTTTTTTTTTTTTTTTTTTTTTTTTTTTTGTCTTTTTGAGGTAGGGTCCCATTGCCATACTGTCTCTCAAGTAAAGGTAAAATTTATTCTTATTTTTTTCTTTAAAAAAAAGGGCAATAAATGAAACCAAAAAAAGACAAGAATAAGAAAAAAAAAGTCACAGGTTTGTCCTGTTACAATTCTGTATATGGTTCTGTATAAAGTCTTTGTAAAAATATGTAAATGCTTATTTCTAGTTTTTTTAAATTATTTTTCCTTCATATTCTATAAGGAGTTAAAGTTCAGCATATCAATATTTGATGGAAAATACCTGTTCCATGATATGCCAAAGATGTTTGATATTTACACAGATAGGATAAACCAAACTGCATATATTGCAGGTTAATAATAAGCTTCTCTTCTGGAAGGTTAACAACCTAAGTTAGTAGATCAAAATTGGAGAAAAGGAAAGGCTGCAAGGTCAGCCAACATTTTGGCCCTAGCTTTTCAAGGTCAGTGAAGACTCAGGACATAGGAGAACCTGTACTGTAACATCATGTAACTCAGTTGTGCTTCAAATTTTCTGATCAAGGAGATTATGGAGCCACAGAAGAATGTGATCAGTGATGTATAGTATGCCTGGGGAGAGTCACATGGAGAGAAAACATTCTCTCATTTCACAGAGAGCAAATTGGTGAAGCAATGGCTGTGACTCATCCTCATGGCTGACACTGACAGAGGATCTACAAAGTGCGGTACAGGTCTACAGGATAAATCCTGAGGGTACTTGGCTGACCTTATCAGATACAAAAGTTACATTTCTTGTTATATAGGTCTTGCTTTATTTTGGTCTTAACCATCCAGCAGAAAAGTATAAAAATGAGGTATATAAAGTAAAGCCATATTAATACGATGAGCTGTAAAAGGCTCAAGTCAATAACTTCTGAGGATAACCCACTAATATAGACTGCTAGACAGTGTTGGATTGTTTAGCTGAATTCAAACACCTGTAGTATTTAGATGCCAATAGAATATCCACCTCTGACAGGACAAAAAAAGGGGGGGGATACAAAGGAAGGATCGTTTTGTATTTATATATACAAAATAGTTAGGATAGATATACAGCTACTTTTGCTTAATTCAATGAAAAGAAAGAGGTGTACTAATAGTGTTTGGACAGGATATCCTGTCTGCTTCTTGTACTGTGGATAACCGCTAAGAAGATAACAATGTGCAATGTATTAATTATCGAAACTGTCCTATTAATCAGCTTTGAAACTGTCTCATATTTTTTTATTTTTCTTTTTTTCTCATTCATATTTGTTTCTCAATAAAATTAAAATTAAAAAAAAAAGAAATAGGGTCCCAAATGTGCAATTCAGGCTGGCCTTGAATGGAAAGAAGGCAAGGGACATTAGGCAGAAAGATCTGAATAAACATCTATAGTCATAATTCTCTGGTTGTCTTGCACCTCAGTAAGCAGAGTTCATGAAGGTCTGGTGTAAATTTTTCAGGTGTCTCCAGATGTCCCAGGACCTGCAAAATTATTTTTCCTCTCATATCTTCTTTATAACATCCTGTGCTTGCGCATAACAGCTTTGGTACTGAGATGAATTCCCTGCTGAGAATAGTAGTGCTTTTTGGCTGGCAAGCAGGCTAGGGTCTGGGAGAATCAAGTCCATCTGATTGGAGCCTTACATTTTTGTTGACTAAAAAGTTTTGTCTTGTTTTTAATATCCTTTTTTTTTGTATATTGATTTTTAGATTTATAGAAAAAATGAGCATGTAGCATGTAGATTTTTTAATATCTCCTCCCACATATCCTACAGTTTACCTATTGTTAACATCTTGAAATAGTATGTTACCTTTATTAGAATTAATGGACCAATGTTGGTATGTTGTTATTAGCTAAGCCCATTGTTTATTCAGATTTCTTTAGCTTTTACCTAATGTCCTTTTTCTGTTCCAGGATCTCATTAGGATATATTAGATTTAGTTGTCATATCTCTGTAGACTCCTCTAGACATTACAGTTTCTCACACTGCCCTTGCTTTTGGTGACCTAGGCAGTTTTGAGCAGTGTTAGTCAGGTATATTGTGAGATACTCTTCCACTGGAATTTGTCTGATGTTTTTCCCATGAAGATTACAGCAGGAAAAGCTCTTATTTTAATCACATCATATCTGGTATGCATACTGCCCACCCAATTTCTGGCTCTTGATGACGCCTTGATCACCTGGCCAAAGTAGTATTGTGGGTTTCTCCATTGTGAAATTACTCATTTTCCATTTATGTATTGTTTTCTTTGACTAGAAGTCACTGTGTCCATAGTTATTTCTATAAGTTGACAACATTAGGTTGACTTGGAGGGCATGGCCCTAATGCTGTCAGTGATTTCACAGCTCCAAGGTCAGAACAGGAGCGAGAACCACCCCAAGACATTTGCCCACATCATTTTTCTAGAGATCTCACAGCCTTCATATATATAATGAACTACCAGTTGAATTTTACTGATTTTATAAATTTGTACTTTTTGTTAGATGTTTTATTGCTGCTGGTTTCGTTTTTTAAATTTACAATTGAATATTGTATTTGAGACCTGCACATATATGCAGAATGATAGTACTTCAAAAAAATTTTTTTGGCTTTTTAGTCATAGTTGTGGATAAATTAAGGTAAACTCTGCTCATATATATTCTTAGGTGACTTTAACTTGGGTTCAGGGATAGTTACAGGAGTCTAAAAAATATTACTTAAATTTTTAATAATTTTCCTCACTAGAATTTAAACTCAGTGAAGTCAGGTCTTGCTTTTTCTTCTAATTTTCAATATCTGCAACAGTTATTAAACATGTAAACTTTGATATGCTTATGAATGAAGGATACATGCTAGAACTGCTTTGGTTGAGTTGCAGAAAAAAATACTATTGAGCTCTGGATTTTCTAGGTCAAAAATTCCCTATACCGTATTCGTAAGAGAAATTTGCGAATGGTAGTACACTTGTTTAAAACTCAGACAGGGCCAGAGATGTGGCTCAATGGCGCAGTGCTTGCTTGTCAAGCTTGAGTTTGATTTCTGCTACCAAAAAAGAACTCAGACAGTTATCAGCTAGCTAATCAATTCATTAAATTCCCTATCGGGGATAATGGAGTACATGGCCAATTGTTTGTAAAGTGTACTTTTTATCACCATCCCATTTGAGTAAGTAGTTTGAAGATTGTTAAATTTCTAAAGCCACTTAGGGTAGGGACCCATCCACCACCTCCACCACCCCATGTATATAGAAATCAGAGACAACAGAGTTGAACAGCTAGCCAGTAGTAACTTATTGAGAAAATTCACCAGAATTAAAATACTGAGGAAATGAGGAGCATACATATACCAGATCTAGGGTCAATGGAAAATTGATCTAGAAATGGACTTTGCTGAGAAGGATAAGAAAGTTCTTTATTTTTGCTCCCACCTGAAGTTACCTCTGTTCTTTCTGTTTAATTGTAGGCCTGTTTAGGAAAAAAATCAGAAAACCAGTCAAAAATATTTTCCAAGCCAGGCATGGTGGCGCATGCCTATAATCTGAGCACTTAGGAGGCTGAGACAAGAAGGATTGTTGCAAATTGGAGACCAGCCTGGGCTACAAAGTGAGCTCAAGGCCAGCCTGAACTATATATAGTGAGACCCTGTCTCCAAAAATCTTTTCCCACAATGATTAAACCCAGGCACAGTGGTACATACCTACAGGAGGCTGAGGCAGGAGGATGGCCTTAAGTTCAAGACCAGCCTGAACTACATAGTGAAACAGTGTTTCAAAACAGACACAGAAGGCTAAGAAATGGGAACAAACATAGGTTTTATTTAGCATGTGAATGATACCCCAACTGTTGCCAGTCAGGAGCATCAACCCAGAAGATAGAAACACAGCAGTTTACATAGTAGTTGGCCCATTTTCTAAAAACTGCAGATACTCACCAGAAAGGCAGAGTATAGAGTTTGTCTAATCACAAGAAAATAGTCCTAGTCATGGGATCATTACAGCATTTGTCAAAAACAGCATTTATCCGAACTAGAACTGCTTACACATGGAAACTGCTTAACATTTGATTTGGGAAAGAATGAGTTCATCTAAAGTTTAAGGGAGTTTAAGTGATTTTTAAAATGGAGTTTAGACACAAAATATAGTCAGTGTAGTCTTGTTACCACCACACTTAAGAATCGTCTATCCTATGTATATCATTTCTTGGGTATTTCTTCTTTGGAAGAGAAATGGATTAAGTCACAGCAAAAGATGGTAAATACTGATGAGGAAAAATGTATCTATTAGATTATAAAATCTATTTCATTGAGTTGTATTTAAGAAAGTAAGAGTCCCTTAATGCTGCCTGGGTAGTCAGGAAATCTGACCCCTTGGTCAGCCACTGACTGGGGAAAAGCATTGGATAAATAATTTGGAGATCCAAGTTGTTATCTTGATTATCTGTTATTATCTAGTTGTTATCTAGCTTTGTGCCTGTGAAGAAGTTAAACTCCTCATTGTTCCAGCCAGGACTTGCAGCAATAACAGTAGCTGACATTAATTTCTCTAACTAGAGCACCACTGAGGAAAATGAGGAAACTACTTTCTTTCATTTTGATCAGTATATTCTCTGCTGCATTTTTTTCCAGCAGTTCTGGTCTCAATGGAGGTTTTCTTACTTTCTCCCAGGAGAGCTTTGTTGGTAGTAGAATATGTAATCAGCTAATCAGGTCCATCTGCTGATGAACCCTCTGGATATGTATGACTATAATGGAAGCCATGTTGTTTCGGTTACGCTTCTGTCATTGCTGGGACAAATACCCAACACCCAAAATGAAGGAAGGAAAGGTTTATTTAGCTGACAATTAGTGGAGGTTTCAGTTCATACTCAACTGGCTCCAAGGCAAAGTGACACATGGCAGAAAGCAACCTTTCTTAGTGGTGGCAAAGAGCAGAGAAAAAAGGAAGTGGCAGCAGCTCAGACAGCTTGCTAGCCTCTCTCCCCTCCTCATATTGTAATGCAATTTTCCTGCCCCACAGCAGGTGCAGCATCCATACCCACAATTAATCAAACTCCAGAAGCTGCCCCATGACTGCATGAGGCTTTGGGGGGACACCTGTACACAAACCATAGCACATATCTAAGAGAGTTTATGATAAGAGAGGAGTTCAAAACTAGTACCTCATAATATTAGTTACTTTGCCCACCTGAAAAAAATCCTTGCATTATTTGCTAGTTACTGATGTTTTGGGTAAAACCTTGGTAGAATCTATGACTAGGATAAAAACTGTTCAAACTTATCTTAAGGCAGGCAGCTAAGATGCCTGTAGCTGTACATACATTTTTACCAGACCAGAATATATTTAATATTTTTTGAATTTTTGCATTTTTTCATGTTCATTGATAAAATCTGTAAATACTAGATGAGCTATAGCAAACCTTTTAGCACTTTCATTGATACAAACACCCGGCTGCAGCACACATGCTGTAGGTTCAACACCACTGTGCTAGATCATGTTGTTATCCATTAGTAATTCATTATGTATAAAGAGCCCAGAAGTAATTCCAAGCACTTTAGAATTTGGAGAACTACCTCTTTTTCTCCAAGTGCTTAAGTTGTATCAGGAAGGACATAATTTGGGGCAAGTGATAATAAATAATACAGGGTAAGATATACCAGCTGCTGTCTTGATCAGCAGTAGGTCGTGTTACAGGTGAGTCATTTTTCAGATTCTAGAGAAGATGAAATGGAATGATTAGTTCTGATTTCATTGGTATCATTAGTATGAGCTGTGAATTATATATGTATTCTCCTAGGACTTTAATAGGAAGAGCTAAAGAAAAACTCAAGCTGAAACAGAAAGGTATTGAAGTATTTGATTCTAAGCAAGTCTAAATTGAGGCATGGCATGCAAAAAGCAAACAATATTTGTTTCCTTTATCAGTATTCTTTATCTCCTTTTAGATATATTCATTTATGGTAATATAGTTTCACTGTCTTTCAGCCTTTTATATAGTATTTTTAGTTAACGTCTCTTAACCCTTTCTATCCTGTAGCTTCAAGCACAAACGCCAGCCTGATCTCCACTTCCTCCACAATTGCCAATATCCCAGCAGCAGCAGTCGCCAGCATCTCAAATCAGGTACAGCGCTTCTTTTGTTTACACTGTTTGATTTGGTTCATCTAACTTGCTGTCTTCTTCCCATGGTCATCTAAGAAATAATCAGAAATGGTGTGGGCTGTGAGGGTATCCTTTTTCTGGGTACCCTCAGAAGTAGGACCCTAGATGGCTTCTCAGACTGCCATCTAGTTTCTCTTGTTCCTTGATAAGCCTCTTTGGAATATGGCTATGTCTGCCACATTATCTACTTTGTGGCTTTCTACCCTTTATATTCTGTCCCCACTAAAAATAAGCTGCACAAAGGTTAGGGATTTATTTTTCTATTTTGATCACTTATGTATTCCCAGAGCTTGGAAAAGTGCCTGACATTCACATCAGCAGCATTCCAAAAAGACTTGTAGAGTGAATAAATGTAATGTCCACTTTAAATGCCTCATTGCTTTGTTTTTTCTTTGTGACTTGGTCTTGATCACTGTTATATTAACTCTATGCTTAAAAGTTCTCTAGTTACAAATTGGGCATGGTGGCGCATCTAAAATTCTAGCATTGTACAAAGCTGAAGCAGTGTGGTCACAAGTTTAAGAACTAACTGGACAGCTGACAATTTAGTTGCTTAGCAAGACTGCCTCAGAAAGGGTGAGGGATATGCAAAGGCTCTGGATTCAGTTCCCACTACCAAAACCGAACAAAAAGATGATTAGTAACTTTCTCAGTGTTTTGAAGGAGTATTTTGTTGGGAAAAGGAGATTTTTTTTTTCTGTCATTTTAAAAAATTGTATTTTTAGGGCCAGCAGTATAGCTCAGCAGACTAAGCACATGCTTAGGTAGGCACAGGGGTCAGGGCTCAATCCCTGGCTCCAAATGCCGCACCGGCTCCACCTTTGGGCACACTGAGCTGGAGATGGAGTCAGGCATGGTGGCACGTGCCTGTAATCCCATCACTAAGGAGGCAGAAATCAGGAGGATCACTATGAGTCTGGACTGTATAGTGAGACCCTGCACAAAAAAATAGAATTTTAAAAAGTATATATTTGCAATATATAACAAATACATTAATTGAAGGGGTTTGGTACATATGCATATCACATCTTTTTTTTTTTTTTTTTTTTTTTTTTTTTTTTTTTTTTTAGTACAGTGTCTGTGGGGTACAGGGTCTCACTACGTAGATGGGACGCACAGTGATTTTCCTATTTTCAGTGTCCCAAGTGTGGGGATTACAGGCATGTACCGCCACACCCAGTCTCAATTGTTGTCTCAGTGTGCCCCACGGACAGGGCCAGCACAACATGCTGAAGATCAAACCCCCAACCCCTGTGTCTGCCTAAGCAGGTGCTTTAGTCCACCGAGCTATTTGGCCGGCCCTACATATCACATCTTGATCCTTTTTACTTCGCTTCCCCTTCTCTCCCTCCTGTCTTCTCATCTCCATATATTTTCCTATCTTTCAAAAACCACTTTTTTGGGCGGGCCAGATAGCCCAGCGGACTAAAGTGCTTGCTTAGGCAAAGCACAGCAGCCAAGTTTCGATCCCCAGCACCACAGGGCATGGTGGCCCACGCCTGTAATCCCAGAACTTGGGAGGCTGAAAACAGGAGGATCACTGCAAGTGCAGTCTACCTAGTGAGACCTTGTAGGCCCTGTACTAAATGCATTTAAAGAAAAAAACCTTTTTGATTCATTCATTCATACTGTTTTTTAGTCTCAATTTCATTAATTTCAGCACTGACTTCTATAATGCCTTTTCTTCTACAAATTATAAATTTGGATTGTTCTTGTCTTTCTAGGACCTGTAGGTACATCATCAGATTATTTATTTGGGATCATCTATTCATCTGTCTCTTGTGTGCTTGCTTTCTCTTGAAGAGAGAAAAATAATAAAAACAATGATACAGAATTTCAAAACAAGATTAGTAGGAAATTAACAGTGGTTAATATATGGCATAATGTCACCATTATATTCTTTTTATGTGTGCATTTACAACTGTAACCTTCCCTCTTGGAACTGCTTTCATTATGTTCCACAGATTGTGGTATGTTTTGCTTACATTGTGCCTTGATTCTACAAACTTGTTTCTTCCCTGATCTCTTTTGTGATCCACTCTTATTCAACAATATATGTTCATCTCCATGTGTTTGCATAGTTCTGTAGCAATTTTTCTGTTGATTTCTAGCTTAATTCTGTTATGATCCACTAGTATTCAGGGGATTATTTCAGTTCTCTTCAGCATCCTTTATGATTTAAGAAGTGGTCTGTTTAGGGGAAAGTCCTGTGGGCTTTTGAGAAAAATGTGTGTTCTATTATTGTTAGACAAAACACACTGTAGATCTATGTTAAGTCCAGTTGTTCAGTGGTGTGGTTTTATAGTTTTTGTTTTTGTGTGTTATTTTTCTCTACAGCAATTAATGTTATCACAATCTCCATAGATCTTTTACTCTAGCTGCAGTTACCATTCACTATTCTTGTTCACTTTCTGTGTTTTCCTATTCTTGTATTTATTCTTTTGTTTAGTCCACAAATATTCATTAGAAGTCCTACATTTGTACCTAGCACTCTTACAAGGACTTTCTCTTTTCCCATTCATATCTCTTCTTTTTGATCCTGTCTTCTGACGTGGACATCTCTATGTAGTTTTAATTCCCTGCTAGTTCTCTTAAGTTCAACATGTATAAAATCAGACCCTGTGTGTGTGTGTGTGTGTGTGTTTGTGTGTGTGTGTGTGTTTTACTGGGAATTGATCCAGGGTCTCAGCTGTGTTTGAACTTGCAATCCTCTTGCATCAGCCTTCCAGAGTACTAGAATCACAGGTGTTCACTACTATGCCCCAGCATATGATGCCACATTTTCTCAAGTCATTCACCTAAACACTTTTCGTGTTCTTTCCCCATATCCTAACCCAGACAAGCTATATAGTGTTGCCTAAAATATATAGTTAGTATTCACCAGTCATTCAGACCTATGAGGACCCATTGTTTTAAACAGACTCAACATCTTTGGCCCTTTAATAAAAGCTTTGCAGGGCCTTTTCATGTTTTTGCCTCCTGTGCTAGTCATTTCTTAGTTGCTGGGACAAAATACGCAACACCTGTATCCCAAAAAGGAAGTTTATTTCTGCTCATAATTATGGTAGATTTGGCACATGGTTGCCCAGCTAGCTCCAAGGCAGAAACGGCCTGGCAGAGGAAAGCTGTTCACTTAATGCCATTATGAAGCAAAGAGAGAGGGAAGCTGCTGGGGATGATCATACATGCGTAGAACCCATTATTCCTAGTGACCTCCCCTTCCATCCAGACCCCACCTCTAAATATGAGACTTTAGAGGAGTATTTTAGATCTAAACCATTATACCTCACAGTTGGCTTCCTCAGCATTTCACTCACTTAACATATAATTTTTTACAAGTTGCTAGAAATATTTTTAGGGGAGTTTTGTTTGTTTTATGTATTTGGTGCAGTATCTCACGATGTAGCTTGGACTCATAGTAATCCTCCTGTTTTCACCTTCCCCAGTGCTGGGATTACAGGCGTGCACCACCATACCTGGTCTCAGTGGCTGGCTCAGCATGCCCCGGGTGGTGCCAGGGATTGAACCCCAGTCCCTGCACTTGCCTAAGCAGGCGTTTAGTCTGCTAAACTGTCTCACCAGCCCATTTTAGGGTTTGTTTGTTTTCACTACAATTTTTTAGCCTTCTTTCCTGCTAGATTTTCAACTTCTTTTGTGTTCTGCTGAAGTGACTTATTCTTTTCTTTAGTATTCCAGTGTCCTGTCAATGCACAAGTACACACAGACACAATTATATTTGATTTATAATAGGTGCTCAATGTCTATACAAAGATTTGATCTGGCAACTATTGTCTTCCTGCCTCTTGCTTATTATTGAGTGTCAGTGGAACTATTTTAAAGGTATATATCTGATCTGTGTATCGTATTCAGTTTTATTTTATAGCTCTATTAAGATGCAGTTGAGGGCCAGCCAAACAGCTCTGTGGATTAAAGCACCTGCAAGCAGTCACAGGGGTCGGGGTTTCAATCCCCAGGCCTGCCGTGCCAGCCCCACCCCCAGGACCCGCTGACGCAGCAGTTGGGAGGCTGTAAACAGGAGGATCACTACAAGTCTGATCTAGTAGTGAGACCCTGAACACCCTGTAGACCCTTCCCTAAAATACAAAAAAAAAAGTAATTGAAATACAAAAACTGCACAGATTTAGATTATATAATTTGGTAAGTTTTGATATATATGTGCTTATGAAACTACCAAAGTCTCTTCCCAATATTGTAAGGAAATTTCATTTTTAAAGAAAACTTAATTTAATAAAAAAAAATAGGGCTGATGATGTAATTCAGGAGTAGAGTGCTTGGGTAAAGTGCACAGGCCCTGAATTCAATCCCTAGTGTGTGTTGTGGGATATGAGTATCAGTCTCCATTCTAAGAAACTTTAATGTAGGAAATGTACTTTTTAAAGTTCATTTGTCCTTAGAAGTATTACTGTCTAGAGCACTGATTTATAAATTTTCTAAAGAATAGAAGCTTTCCTTCAAAAATTCTATGCAGAAATGTCTTTAGAAACTCAATGCAAAGCCAGGCATTGTGATGCATACCTATACTCTCAGTACTCTGAGGCAGGAGGATTGCTGCAAGTTTGAGACCAGCCTGGGCTACAAAGTGAATTCAAGGCCAGCCTGAACTGTATAGTAAAAGCCTGTCTCAAAAACTTTTTAAAAAAATCCTCATTAGAAACTTGATGCATGAAAATTAGGGGTGGAGGAGGAGCTGTTAGAGAACAGAACATTGTATGTATGTGTATGAGTACATTCGGATCACCCCTTCCTCTCAGGCTTCTCCCTATCCTGAAGTACCTCCTTTGGACTCAAGTTTTTACACAATGAGTTTTGGCAATATTGGTTTCATTGATCGACTACTAGATAGGTAATTAATGAGTCAAATTAATGATTTTTAAGAATATAATTATGAAGAAAAGGGAAAATGGAAGGTATCCTCTAAAAGTTATTTTCCTCCCTTGTTCCCTTTGGCTTACAGGACTATCCCACCTATACTATTCTTGGTCAGAATCAATACCAGGCCTGCTACCCCAGCTCTAGCTTTGGAGTCACAGGTCAGGCTAACAGTGATACTGAGAATTCCACACTAGCACCTACCACCTACCAGGCAGAGAAACCTAGTGTCATGGTGCCTGCACCACCAGCACAGAGACTTTCTTCTGGTAAGTACCATAGCTCACAAAACTGGTTTAAAGGCACTTCATCCAATAAGTGTTTTCAGGTAATGGTGAAGAAGATTTTGTCCTGGTCTAAATTACTATCACTATTCTGTTTGATTCCTCTCAGGTAAGGAAAATTTAAACTTTGGAGCAGGCTATGGGTCACTGGTAGCTGAATGTCTATCCAGTGTTGAGAAGAGGAAAGTACTAACAATAAAAAGACAGTATTTTTTTTTTTTTAAAGACAGTATTTTTGACCCTTATCCTGCCCACCCATAGTTTTAACATGCCTGTTACAGGGAACACATGCTTTAGGATTTTTGGGTTTTGTTTGTTTGTGGTTTTGGGGTTTTTTGCAGTACCACGAATCTTACTCATGACCTTGCCAGGCAAGCGCTTATGTGGCTGAACTATATCCCCAGCCTCTGAGGGAGCACCGGAATTTGGGCATATTTTCTAAAAAATTTGAGGACCTCAATTTTGGTCTGGGCATATTTTACCATTCCTGTTAGAGCCCCAGAATAGGCTTTCTTTCTATATCTTGAATCCTTTTAAAATTGTGAGGAAAGCTATAAAATTTAACCTATAATTTCAGGACATTCACAGTTCTGAGATACTTTTATGATTTCCAGGTTAAAAACCTTTCACAGGGTCGATGAGATAGCTCAGCGAACTAAACGCCTACTTAGGCAAGCACAGGGACTGGGGTTCAATCCTCAGCACACATGCTGCACTGGCCCTAACCCCAGGCAGGCACTTAGCCAGCGACGGAGACCAGGCATGGTGGTGCACACCTGTAATCCCAGCACTGGGGAGGCTGGAAACAGGAAGAGCACCGTGAGTCTGAGCTGAGTAGTGAAACCCTGTACCAAATACATTAAAAAACAACAACAACAACAAAAAAAAACCCTTTCACATAAAGGTTTATATACAAATTTAATAAACATGTAACATATACTTTTTTATATATATTCAGTGAAAACTTGGTGGTTGGCTATCATATCACATTATTTAAGAGAAGCATTTAATTTTCATTGATGATGCGTATGTACAGGGTTCTATGTCAACTAAAATTTTTTGTATAGCATGTCTTTTTCAGTCTGGTAAGTAAGTGGCTATACAGATGTGCATTGCTTCAAATTTTACATAGTGTTAAAATGATTACAAGGAGCATTGTCACAGTGAATGCTGTGACAGGAGCATAGTGAATCCTTACATATCTGTCATACACCTTGAACAATTAACACCGTACAGGCAGTTGTGTGTTTTTATTGTTTTGTTTTGCTTTAGTTTTTTGAGACGGGCTCTTACTATGTAGTTCGGGCTGACCTTGAACTCACTGTGTAGCCCAGCCTGGCCTTGGCCTCTTGCCTCAACCTCCCAAGTGCTGGGATTCCAGGCATGCGCCACCACACCAGCACTTAACAGGCAATCTTTTTTTTTTTTTCTTTGCGGAACCGAGGATTGAACTCAGGCCCTTACATTTGCCAGGCAAGTGCTTATTCTACTGAGCTATCTCCCCAGCCCCATTCAACAGGCAATCTTGTTTCACTTATATGTCAATCTAATTCCCCATCTAAATTTCAAGCACTGTTCTCTAAAAGATAAGTACTCATTGACATACCACAAAACTGTTACCCTGTCTGATAAAGCAAAAGGTATTCATATTAACAATTTTCTTATAAATATTGAATTTTATTTTTCATTTTATATTTTGTCAAAATTTGGATATAAGCCATTTGCCACTAAGTACATATTTGAAAATATGTTTACATGATAAATGTATGCAGTTCTTATCAATTAAAAATGAATCAGTGAGATCAGGTGTGGTGGCACACGTCTGCAGCCCCAGTACTCGGAAGGCCAAGATAGGCAGATCACCCTGAGTTGAAGGCCAAAATGAACTGCATAGTGAGACTGTGTCTCAAAATAATTAATGAACATGGTCAGGGAGGTAGCTCAATAGAATAAGTCCCTGCCTGGCAAGCATAAGATCCTGAGTTCAATCCCCAGTACCATGCAAAGAAAATCAGTGAACAAATAGAAAATTTGAAAGGGAAAATTGGATCCTAAATTGGTCTATATATTGTGATTAGTGAGTATATATTTTGTATTTTATCTCTTTATCTGTAAATCCCTCATCTCTTCCCCCAGCCTCTCAGCTTATCTATCCCACAAAATTTCCCAGTCTAAATTTTGCTGAGTATGTCTTTACAGGGTTTTTATTGCATTTTTTAAAAAATAAATTTGGATCTAGCACAGTAGTTTTCAAATAGTGGATCCAACATAGTGGTTTAAAACCAAAGGTGGGGCTGGTGAGATGGCTCAGTGGTCTAAAGCACCTACTTAGAACAAGCTTAGCAAAGCACAGGGACCGCGGTTCAATCCACCAGCACCACATGCCAGCCAGCCCCGCTCCCTGGTGGGCTGAGCTGGCCACACACACACACACACACACACACACACACACACACAAATAAATAATAAATAAATAAAATGAAACCAAAGGTAATTTTGCCTTCAGGGGACATTTGGTAGTGTATGGAAACATTACATGGTTGTCTGGGTAGGGGATGCTACTGCTACCCAGTGAGTACAGGGTATGCATGCTGTTTCATTAAATGTCCTATTCTACACAAGACATCGGCCCTCAACAAAAAGTTACCTGGCCCATAATGTTTGCTGTGCCAAGTTGACAAACCTTTGTCAAGAAGTTTGAGCAAATTCAGGTTGGACAGGGGGTGATTATGTATGTTTGTCTTCAACAAAACAACTTCAGGGGGGCCAGGGAGATGGCTCAATAAAATAAGCGCTTCCCTGGCAAGTGCAAGGGCCTGAGTTCAATCCCCGGTTCCACCAAATATAAAAATTAAAAAAACAACTTCATAATCCAGATGTGGTAGCACATGGTGGTAGTGCAAGCTACTTTGGAGGTTGAGTAGGATCACTTGAACTCCCTAATTCAAGGCTAGCCTGGCCCAGGGATGACGCCTATAGGAGACTGCCCTGGATTTCATAGACTGTGACTGCTACAGTATGTCTTGCTTTCCATCTTCAGGAGATCCTTCTACAAGCCCATCCTTAGCCCAGACTATACCAAGTAAAGATGCTGATGATCAGTCCAGGAAAAACATGACTGGCAAGAACCGGGGCAAGAGGAAAGCTGATGCCAGTTCTTCCCAGGACAGTGAATTGGAAGTATGGAAGAAATTCATTTGAGTTACCTATTTTGGCTTTTTTTTTGTTGTTGTTGAGTGGTTTGTTATTGTTTGTTTGTTTGTTTACTTCTTAAGTTCAATATCTGAAACTCATAGAGATAATGTGCATTTATATTTTATGCCCTTTAATTTCTAAACAGAGGAGTCTAAATTAGTTAAGTAAAAAGAAAAATGAAGAAATGTCTCTTTCAGATGCTTTTCCCCAAAGCACTGAGAAGGCTTTGCTGAATGTAAGTATCCAGGTAACTTTTTAAGGGAAAGAACAAACTGTACTCTGTGTTTCAGAGAATAAAAACAACAGTGCTCTTATTCAGAAAGTAGAGAAAGCTACAAATGATGTCATATTGTTCTGTGTTTAGAAATTGGAAAGGGAAATGAGAGAACTATCATGCTTTCAGTTCACATCTCTGAGATACAAATCTGGTAACTTCCAGTTGATACTTTTATTCTGTTGTGCAAGCACCACAGGCATTTTCTATAGATACACAGTTGACTTCTGTATTACTGAGACTAGAAAGACATAAATTCCATTAATTGTGGGGTTTTGATGTTATAATTTTGTAAGTTAATGTTATGAAATTAATTTTATAAATTTTTGTTTTCAATTTTCTCAATTTAATTTTGTTCATTTTAATTTAGTTTTAGTTTAATTTAAATTCTTAAATTTTCTAAACCTCTCATAATATAATTGTTTAATGAAAGGAGTCTAGTGATGGATGCTTGTAGACATAAGTAAATCAAAATTGTAGCCTTTTTCTTTGTTTACTGGGGTCAGAATAAAAGAAGAAAAAAAAACCTAAAGTTCTTACAGGTTTCTTGGGAAAAACTGAGGACTCATTTTAGCATTGTAACCATTTTGCAATGTTGTATAACATCACCACTGTATGTTGAGAAGTTTTTCATGATTCTAAACAGAAATCCTGTACCTGTTAAGCCATAATTTCTTTATTTTCCTTCTCCCAGTCTATGACAACTACCATTCTACTTTCTGATGCTGTGAATTTGCCTATTCTAGATAACCCAAATGAGTGGACTCATACGATATTTGCCCTTTTGTATCAGGCTTCTTTCGCTTATGATAAATAATTTTTTCAAGGCTCATCCATGTTAGCTTATGTCAGAATTTCATTCCTTTCATTGGCTGAATAACTCTGTGTGTGTCTGCACGCACGCGCACGTGTGTGTGTGTTTGTGTGTCTGTGTCTATGCCACATTCATACCCTTCATCTTTTCAAGGACATTTAGGGTTCTTCACCTTTTGGCTATTGTGAATACTGCTTTGAACACTGATGTGCAACTGAGTCCATCTTTGCAGTTCTTTAGAACATATACATAGGAGTGAAATTCCATAATCATACTTTATGTTCATCTTTTGGAGGAGCCACCAAAGTTTTCAATGGTTTTACATTTCCACCAGCAGGACACAGAGGTTACAGTTTTTCCACATCATTACTGACATTTGTTATTTCCCCCTTTTTTTAATAGTAGCCATCCTAGTGGGTGTGAAGTGTACCTCACTGCGGTTTTGATTTGTATTTCCCTAATGACTAAATGAGCATCTTGGGCTGGGGAGATAGCTCAGTAGAATAAGCGCCTGCCTGGCAAGCGCAGGGTCCTGAGTTCAATCCCCAGTACCACAAAAAAAAAAAAAAAGATAAATAAAAATGAGGATCTTCCCATGTGTTTATTGCCCATTTATGCATTTTCTTTGGACAAATACTTATTTAAATCTTTGACCCATTTTTGAATGGAGTTTTTCTGTCGTTGGGATGACACAGTCTAGATTCTTAATCCTTTATCAGATTGTGATATAAAGATATTTTCCACTCATTCTATTTGGTTGGTTTTTTGTCCTGTTTCCTGGTGATTGATTGATTGATTGATTGATTGAATGTATTTGATACAAGATCTCACTATGCAGCTCAGACTCTAGTGATCTTCCTGTTTTCAGCCTCCCCAGTGCTGAGATTACAGGGGTGTGTCACCACACCCAGGCTTGGTGGCCCATTTAGCATGCCAGGGGCAGGGCCAGCGAGGCCTGTGGTGCTAGGGATGGAATCCTCATCCCTGCACTTGCCTAAGCAGGTGGTTAGTCCACTGAACTATCTCACCAGCCCTGTGATTTATTTATTTTTGGTGCTGAGAATCAAGTCCAGGAGGACCTCAGTGATAAGAAGGCACTCTTCCACTGAGCTATGTCCCCACTGAGTTATCTTTTCATTTTTTTGTATCTTTGACACAAAATTACTAACTTTTATGAAATCAAATTTGTCTTTTAGGGCTGGTGAGATGGCTCAGTGGTCTAAAGCACCTACTTAGAACAAGCTTGGCAGAGCACAGGGACCGCGGTTCAATCCCCCAGCACCACATGCCAGCCAGCCCCGCCCCCTGGTGGGCTGAGCTGGCCACACACACATAAATAAATGAATAAAATTAAAAAAAAAAAAAAAAACAAATTTGTCTTTTATTGCTGTTTTTGCTATAATATCTAAGAATACAACATCTGGAGATTTTTGTTTCCTTTAGGCCTTTGATTCATTTTAAGGCAATTTTGTATGTATGGTAAGGTCTAACTTTGTGCTTTTGATTATGGCTATCCAGGTTTCCCAGCACCATTTGTTGAAAAGACCTTCTTGATCTGGGAGTGTAGCTCAGTAGTAGAGTACTTGCCTGGCATGTATGAGGTCCTAAGTTCAATCCCCAGCACCACAGAAACAAACAACAACAAAAAAGTTTCTTGTCCCTTTTGGATGATTTTGGAATCCTTGTCAAAAATAGATTAACCATTATGAGCATTTATTTCTAGACCCTATTACATTGGTCTTTATGTCTAATCTCATGCAAGTACCATACTGTTTTGATTACTGAAATGCTACAGTAGGTTTTGAAATTAGGAAGTGTGAATCCTGTATATTCTTTGGTATTAGGGTAATACTGACCTCTTGGCATGAACTAAGAAGTACTTTCTTTTTTTTTCCATAATTTTATTGATAAACAAATAGCAATGAGACAGTTTCAAATCAAATTGGTAGAACAGTTTCAGTAATTAACACATTGCATACATTCTTCCTAGTGGTTAATTGCTGTACAAGATGCGGACATGATATCCTATTTATAAACACCATTAGAACAAATTGCTGTATTCATTAAGAGAATGTAACTATATATCTATCCTAACCACTTTGAATACACAGATACAAGAAGTACTTTCTTGCCAGGTGTTGTGGTATGCACCTGTAAACCCAATACTCTGGGAGGCTGAGGCAAGAGGATCATAAATTTGAGTTTAAGATTGTATTATTTCTTCCCCACATATTTGTGAATTTTCCAGTTTTCCTTCTGTTCTATTTCATTTCACTGTGATTGAAAGGTAATCAGTATACTTCTTTTTAAATATTTTCTTCCCACAGCGGGTTTTTCTATGGGACTTGGATGAAACCATCATCATCTTCCACTCCCTTCTTACTGGATCCTATGCCCAGAAGTATGGCAAGGTAATTTGAATTTCATCCTAATTATCCCTCTTCTAATAAGAAAAAAAATTGCTTTTTCTGGCACTGCTATCTTACCCTGTTTGTTTTTAACTTACTATGTAAAGTTTAACCAGATGGCTGGCATCAGGCAGGCTACATGATCAGGTAGAGCTGATGATGAAGTATAGACCAGACCTAGGTCCAGCTGAGAGCTGAAATTGTTCATAGCATGTTACAAAGATTGAAATGTAGGAGTAAGTCTCAAAACAGAACAACTCTTAGATTTACGTGTTCAAAAACTGATTTCTTAAACTTTAAGTCACTTTTTCCTCCAAGGCCTTTGCACTGAGCTACAACTCCCAGCCCTTTTTTATTTTGAAATGGCATCTTATTCACTGAGTTGGCCAGCTGGAATTCAAACTTGGACTCTTTCTGCCTCTACCTCCTAGAATGCTGGGATCAAGTCTCTTTTAATAGTGCAAATGCAACATATATATGCCAGATGTAAACAAACAGATGAAATGCTCTAAAATAGATTATATGCTGTCTTAGTCACTTTCCTCATCACTGAGACACTAAATCTGACACCTACAACTTAAATGGGTGATTTACTTTGTTTTATGGTTTTTAGGTGACTCAGTCCATAGCTGGCTGGCTCTAAGACAGTACAAGCATGGTGAAAGACTGGTAGAGGAAAACTTCAGATCACAGTGGTCAGGAAGCAGAGAGGAAAGAGATACACCCAGGTCACACAGCACACTCCAGTGCTCAACTCATGAGTGGAGGAATCTTCTGAAGTGTGTAGTGTTCCAATGTCCAGTCACTTTCCAAAAGCCCTTCTCCCAAGCATGAGAGTTTTGGGAGACATTCTAGATCTAAACTATAACATGCTTTGTGGAACTAAACTTACCAAACAAAATTTAATGTGCTTAATCATCACTGTGAACATCAAGAGCAAAACCTGAGCTGTTTTGAGAAGATGATTGCTGGTATTTCTCACTCCAGAGGCTAAGGCAGGATTGTTGCAAGTTCAAGACCAGCCTGTGCTGCAAAGTGAACTTAAAGCCAGCCTGAACTGCATAGTGAGACCCTGTCTCAAAAAAATAACTGGTATTTCTACACTAAATTACTCCAAGGTTGATTCTAAAAATTTTATAAAAATATCTGCCACCTTCACTATCTCAAAACTGCCAGTTGTTTTGTGGTATCATTGATATTTCTAAAAAATGTTTTCCACAGGCTTTTACTCTCTATTGGCCAGCTGACATGAACTGTATTACTAAGATGTTCATAAAAATATTTTAGGGCCAGCAAGATAGCTCAGCAGACTAAGGGCCTGCTTAAGCAAGCACAGGGACTGGGGTTTGATCTCCAGCACCACATGCCATGCCGGCCCTACCCCCTGGGCACACTGAGCCAGACACAAGACTGGGCATGGTGGTGCACGCCTGTAATCCCAGCACTGGGGAAGCTGAAAAACAAAAGGATCACTGTGAGCCTGAGCTACATAGTGAGACATTGCACCAAATACATTTTTTAAAATTATTTTTAGTTTGTTTATAAAAACATAATGGATTCATTTTAAAGAAGTTTGCACTGATTTATCTGCAAACATTTTGACTCTTTAGTCTTTCCTGTCTTGGTTGTTGAGATTATCAGATGTCTGCTGTTATGGTGTGTGTATTGCGGGGGGGTAGGTATAATGCACACTATAATAGCAGTATTTTAGCTGTAATTAGAATTTCCTCTGGACAAAGGAATTTCCAAAGATATTAAATAGATTGTTTTTAAGGAGAATGATACGATTTTTTGACTGTTAAACAGCGATTTAATTTTTAAAATATATTGTTTAAAATAAATTCCCTTTACTTTGATGACAGTAATAATTTCTAGAAATTATTGTCTTGAAATTTTTAACTGTTCATAATTTCTTAGCACTCTGAATTCTATAAATATTAATGAAGTTCCATCAATAGTATTTGAAATCAATATTGTGAGCTTGTATTGTCTTTAAATATCTTGGGCTTATATTGACCTCAATTTTGTAATATTTGAAAATAGAAGCAGTTTTTTAAGTATCAAATCAACCTGTTTTCTTTCTCTTATTGCCTTCTAGGACCCAACTGTAGTGATTGGCTCAGGTTTAACAATGGAAGAAATGATTTTTGAAGTAGCTGATACACATCTATTTTTCAATGACTTAGAGGTGAACATCTTAAATTGTTTTTGTGATACAGTGAGATATTTTGTTCAGTGTTTGGAGCATGTGTGTGTATAGAAGGTACTGTTAGAGCAGGCATAGAGAAGCTTGGTTACACAAGGTAAAGAAGTACAGGCTAGCAACCGTAGGTGTGCATAGCCTCTTGAAGAAATGTTAACATGGTTTGGTAACAGTCTTGCTTCTGGCCCTCAATTTTATTGGCTCAAAAATTTGACTTTTGTTAGCTTATTTGGAAGTGACATAGCATTAGGAGAAATGCTACCACATCAGGCAAGGCACTGATATTTAAGCCAGTATCTCAATTTATTATCAATACTAAATATTTATTTGGTTAATTAATATATAATGATAAATAATGGGTCTGATTATTTATATTCTCAATTATGTTTTAACTATTCTTCAGTTTTACTTTAAAAACCTTTTGATTTGTCTAGCTTGTAAATACTCATGTATTTTTTTATACATATTTATTATCCATATATATGTTAAGCTTGATATACAGAATGTATAGTTACCGGATAAACCAGGATATCAGAGCTTTGCGGGAAAATGTTTTAGAAAAAAATAATAGTTGTTCTGGGGGTATGAGTTGCTGGGAAACAAGAGGGAGAGTGCAGACTTTTTGTGTGTTTAAATGCACAACTCCCCTACGTAAAATTCTGTGTCCATTTCCTCCCCCTCTCTCCCTCATCTCCTCTCCCCTGTGTTGCCTCATCTCATTGTACTACTGAAAATTAAAGCTAGGGCCTTAGGCATGGTAGGTAAGCACTCTACCACTCAACTATATCCCCAGCCCTTTTTATTTTGAGAGAGGCTCTCACTGAGTTGCCAAGGTTGGCCTTCAATTTATCCTCCTGCCTCAGCCTACAAAATATATTCTAATTCTACTCAACAGACGGTTCTCAGCAAGTTAATGTGGCTCTAAACTCTAGTGCTTTTATCTAAATTCCATAATGCTTTAATCTTCCTGCAAGTTCACATGTAAATAAATTAGGGCAGCTTAGTTTCTATTCAGTTATTGAAAGCCTATTGTGTACCAATAATTATTGCCAAATTGTATTTGTAATGATTTTCTAGACATAGTCCTCCCTCAGGACTGAAAGTTCTGTGAAGAATTTGACCTGAATGTGTTCCTGCCCCCAGGTCAGTGGTTCTCAATTTTAGGGGGCATAAGAATCACCTGGGGAGCTTCTTAAAAATGAAGATTCTAGGACTGTCCCAGAAATGCTGATTCTAACAGGTCTGGGATGGACCCAAGAATATGCATTTTTTTAAAAACTTCCCCAGGGGATTCTAATGCAGGTACCCTCGTGGTATCAGGATTGTAGCCATCAGGCTAGACAGTGGGAGTGGCATTTATGTCAGCAGTAGCATGGAATAGTAGAAGGAACCTTGGAGTAGAAGCAGAAGGCCCAGCTTCTTTCTAGTCTTTTTCTACCATTCACTAGTTGTATATGATCCTGAAAAAAAAAATCATTTCACTTCCATTTTAGCACGTGAGATTCATTTAGATGACCCCTTATGCCTGTTTAAATTTTTCAGTTTATCATTCTTGATTTTGATGCTATACTATCCTAACATCTATTTCATCTACAAAAATTAATTGGGCACATGCTACATAAAGACATTGGACTAGACTAGAAGGTGTGAGATGTGGGGATTGCCCCACAAGACGTACACTGTAATAGTAAATGTAGTCAAGCTTAGGACATAGACACACATGACAGTGTAGGAGAAGTTATGAGCTGAAGAAATGAACTGCTGAGATAAGAGCAGAACTGAGGGATGGGATAATTAGGAAAAATTTCATGAAGACTGAGATATAGATCAGGCTTTCAAGAAAGTTGCACAGCAAGGGGGTAAAAATGATCCTCCACACATAGGATATTTCATCATCTTGTATATGGCCATCTGATAGTCATGGCAGCATGAACACTTTCACTCTTATGCTGAGTGTGTATTGTTTTTTTAAACAGGAATGTGACCAGGTACATGTGGAAGATGTGGCTTCAGATGACAATGGCCAAGACTTGAGGTGATAAATGCAATAATATTTAACATTGATACAACTGTTACATGCTAGATGCATGTGGGTTTAAAGGAAAAATGCATAAAAAACCCACAGTCTATTGGAGGAGACAAAAGCAAACATAGTTAACCACAGCATATGGTGTGAGAAGGTGATGTTAGAATATGTGATTGGCAGTCAGAGGTAAAAGACTTCTGGTGTGACAAGGAAACATGTGGTGACACCATTCCAGAGACCTTCTCAGGGGATTGGCATTCGTACAGAACCTTAACAAGGGGTAGCAGCAATGGGGTGAAGAAACACCCTTCTAGCTCTTGGTGAGTCTCAATCACAGGCCATCTGTGCTTCTGGTGGCTCCTTGTGGATCCTCTGATCCCCTGCACCATGGCGGCCCTCAGACCCCTTGTGAAGCCCAAGATCGTCAAAAAGAGGACCAAGAAGTTCATCCGGCACCAGTCAGACCGTTATGTCAAAATTAAGCGCAACTGGTGGAAACCCAGAGGCATCGACAACAGGGTGCGGAGGAGGTTCAAGGGCCAGATCTTGATGCCCAACATAGGTTGTGGAAGTAACAAAAAGACAAAGCACATGCTGCCCAGTGGCTTCTGGAAGTTCCTGGTGCACAATGTTAAGGAGCTGGAGGTGCTGCTGATGTGCAACAAGTCTTACTGTGCAGAGATTGCTCACAACATCTCCTCTAAGAACCGCAAGGCCATCGGGGAAAGAGCAGCCCAGCTAGCCATCCAAGTCACCAATCCCAATGCTAGGCTGCGCAGTGAAGAAAACGTGCATGCCTGTGTGCGTGTTTATTTGTGCTTCAGTAAAATCACAAAAAATGCAAAAAAAAAAAAAAAAAAAGAAAGAAACACCCTTGATGCAAATAAGCATCAGCAGTTTTGTTGAGGGAGCTGTCTAGGCGTCTGGTATTGGGAATAACTAGAAGACTGTGTCACCCGTTGTATTATAGTGAAAATTAAACCGAAGAAACCTCAATGACAAGTTGCTTGCTCTGTCTCCTCACTCCTCTGACTATAGAACCAGTAATATTAGCTAACAGTTATCAAAAAACATCTGGTTTGTGTTTAAATACTGTTAGGAGAAAAGATTGTCACATTTTCATGTTACTTTGTTTTAATATTTTACTCATTTTCATAGGTAAAATGTTCTTGTCTTAATATGAAGTATTCCAACCATGAATTCTCAAATACAAAGCAGAATATAGCACTTTAATATAGCACTGGATATAGCACTTTAATAAGGACATCATTGTGTAGTACTGCGGTTGAAAATTTTCTTTCAGAAGCCGTGTTCAGTTCTGTGTGTTGCTTTTCCCACAGTCATGCAGGGTACCACTCTAAGATTTTATTGGTCTTTTTAGAAGAAACCTGGTTGAAGCAGTTTATATTCCACTCTGAATCCCAGTTTTCATTGTTACTTTGTTTCTCTTACAGGTATGGCTAACCAGTCTTTACCAATTTTATTTCTTAGTAGCTTTATTTTCTTATAGCATCTCTTTTTTTTTTTTTTTTTTTTTTGCGGAACCGGGGATTGAACTCAGATCCTTGCATTTGCCAGTCAAGCGCTTATCCTACTGAGCCATCTCCCCGGCCCAGCATCTCATATTAAATGACTAAATTCTACTTTGACTTCAGATTGAACCAAATTATCTAATTCTGTCACTTTTAAGTTTGTATTTATGAAGTATTAATCCTTCCCAGTTATATAGTTATACGTTACATGCTTATAACAAATTATCCCTACTAGTAACTTTAAAAAGTTAAGTACTTATCATCTCAATTTCTATAAGGCAGGAATTTGAAAACAGTTTAACCAAGGAGTTCCTAATCTGGGTCACTGGAGTTAAAAATCAAGATGTTGGCTAGAGCTGTGCCCATTGGAAAGGTTAACTGGAGCAGGACCTGCCTCTCACATGTGGCTGATGACAGGAGGCTTTAGCTTCTCCCTCTCTGTGAGGAAGCTTGAATGCCCTTACATGATACTGGCTTCTTCCAGAACAGGTACTCAAATACAAGCAAGAGAAATCATCTTTGCAGTCAAACACAGTTTTATCACTTTTGGCTTATATTCTATTTATAGCCCATTCCCAAGCGGAGCAGAATTGGAAGATTATCAGGAATTTGTGGACATTTTGAAGCTACTGCTTATCAGCCTAAAAATTAGCCAATAGAACAGTAAAGAAAAACATCAGGGCCAGGGAGATGGCTCAGTGTATTCCAGTGCTTCCCTGGCAAGTGCAAGGGCCTGAGCTAAATCCCTGGTTCCACCAAAAAAAGAAAAACATCTACCGTTATCTCTTCACTATTATTAACAATTTGGGTTATTTTCTATTATTTTTATCTCCTTTTTATGTAATTATAATGTATTTGCATAGTTGTAATCATCAGTTTTATGCTTTGCTTTTTTCCCACTCTATGGTATTTGCTTTCTGCATTAATGAAAAAAATGTGCTTTGTCCCAAGTCAACCTCTAGAGGATGATGGTGTATGAATTATTTTTGCCTCACTGTCCCTTCTTCCCAATCTCGTTCCTTCCTCTCCCTCTCTCACCTTCCTCTTCCTCTTTCCTTCCCTTTTCTACCCTCTCCCCCCCACACACAAGTGGATCAAACCAAACCTACGCAGGGTACCAGTGAGATGGCCTAGCAGACTAAAGTGCCTGCTTCGGCAAGCTTAGGCAATAGTAGAGACTGCAATTTGATTCCAGGCATCACATGCTGCAACAGCCCCGCTCCCAGGGTGGGCTGAGCTAGAGTCTGGGCTTGGCGGTGCACGGCTATAATCCCAGCGCTGGGGAGGCTGAAAGCAGGCCGATCACTATGAGTCTGAGCTGTGTAGTGAAACCCTGTAACAACCAAATACATTTAAAAAAAAAAAATTAAAACTATACATACTAAGTGCAATCTCTACTGCTGAGCTACACCTCTCCTTTCTTTGATGAAAGTAATAGGGGTAAGATAGACACCTAATTAAAGACAGACTGATACACAAAGACCTTGAACTCAATCCTCCTGCCTCAGCCTCTGGTGTTTTGGGATACAGGCATGTGCTACCATAGTCACCTTCAGATTTTTTTTCTTTTTTTTTGACAGGGGCTCCCTATGCAGTTCAGGCTGGCCTTGAGCTCACTTTGTAGCCAAGGCTGGTCTCACTAGCAATGATTCTCCTGCCTCAGTTTCCCTGTCTACCCAGCTCTACCTTCACATTTAAACTATTAGCTTTGTTTATCAGATATCAGAGTAGGACAAGGAAAAACCCCAGGTAGCACTTAAAAACTATACCACATACAACTTGTAATTTGTGTTATCCTCCCTGTTACAGCAATTACAGTTTCTCAACAGATGGTTTCAGTGGATCTAGTGGCAGCGGTAGCCACGGCTCTTCAGTTGGCGTCCAGGGAGGTGTGGACTGGATGAGGAAACTGGCGTTCCGTTACCGAAAAGTGAGAGAGATCTACGATAAGCACAAGAGCAATGTGGGTGGTAAGTGAGGCAGCACTTTCTTCTGGTGGTGTGCTTTCCATTTCTAGGGATTCCTATATCCCCTTGGCAACTGCTTATCAATTAATGTCCCAGTGCATATGAGAAAAATGGAGGCTAAACCTTCTGAGGAACAATCTCAGTACTTTCAGTGAACTCTAGAATAATAAAATATTAGAGAAAACTTTGCAGTGCTAATTTCTCTTAGCATAACTTTAGAAAATTCTCTTGTTCTCTTTAGGCAGATGCCCCCCCCCCCTTTTTTTGAGACAGAGCCTTGCTATATAGTTCAAGCTGGCCTTAAACTCGCAGCAGTCGTCTTCCTGTGTGAGCCTCCAGAGTGCTGGGATTGCAGGCGAGCATCATCACACTTGTCTGACAGATGCCCTCTGGTTTTTTGTTTGTTTGTTTTTGTTTTTGTTTTTGTTTTTGTTACCGGGGATTGAACTCAGGACTTTGTGCTTGCCAGACAGGTGCTTACACCACTGAGCTATATCCCTGGCCCCAGGTGCCTTTTTAAAGGAAACATGTTACATGGATTATGTTTGATGACTTTTTATTTCTAAGCCACAGTCACTGTCAATAATAGCTAGCTAATTGAATATCGCATTTGGCACTTGATTTCTTGTACCATCAATACATTTCAGACAGAACTAGATATTGCATTTGTAGTAGGTGGAAAGCTTGATCCAGAATTATAGATTGGTAACACCCATGTGTTATCATTTGAAAGACCTCAGATATTTTCCCTGCTTGGAAATATTTCAAATGTTAGGTATTACTTTGCATCTGATTCTGCTCTTTTGAGTTGATTAATCATAAACTATTCAAATGAGATGAGATACTGGAGATCTGATCTACATACCTCATTGGATAGTTAAGAAATTAATATCTATCATGTAGGAGACTGGGCATCTTACCTGCTGTCACATAGCATGTTAATGGCTGTGCCATACTTATCTCCTAACTTTTGGTCCAGCACACTTTACTTTCACTGTTACTTTTTGGTGAGGTACCCTTATGAAAAAATACTTAAAATTGTAAACTATCACTCTCAAAGATGATACATACACACAAATGTTACTTGAAGTCTTGAGGATTGTCAGGTCAAGAGCTTTTGCACTATACCATGTACAAAAAGTACATGTTACATACTTTACAGTATGGTGCAGAAAGTAGGAACAGGGCTTTTTTCTTCTCTTTTTTTGTATGGGGGATCAAACTCAAGACCTTACACTTGGGCCAGGGAGATGGCTCAGTGGAATAAGCACTTCCCTGGCAAGCACAAGTCCCTGAGTTCAATCCCCAGTTCCACCAAAAAAAGAAAAAGACCTTATACTTGCCAGGCAGGCACTTATGCTGCTGAGCTATCTCCCCAGTCCTGAAGTTCAATCTTATTCATTCCTGTCATAGCCCTCTAATACTGGATAAAAATCATAGGCTTTCAGATTTGAGGAATTCCTCTTTTTATCATTTATTTCTTCTCATGACTCAGAGCCAATTTTTTTTTTTCCAATACTTTTTTTGTTCCCAAGTTTTTTTACTTTTCTCTCACAGGCATTGGCCTTTCTTTTGTTAGTTTTTATATACAACCCAAGACTCTGATCCTTTTCTTACCTAGTGCCTAAACCTGGCTTTCTAAAGAAAATGATATGACCCTATGGGAAAAAAAAAAATTAAAAGTACTCTTTGTTTGTATTTTCTGTACAGCATGGAGTAATTAAAATACATCATATGTGAGTTAAAATACATGTACTGATTTTATTGTTTTGTCCAGAATGTTAAATAAAAGAGACCCTTGATTCTGGGCTTGCATTGTGAAACTGTAAACTTGAATTATATTCCTAGTGTTTTCCTCACAGAAATGCCTTCAGTTTTTATAGAGTATTCTCTTAAACTTCCACTGTAGAAAAATTCAGAATCAGACTTACTGTTTGTGTTTAACAAGATACTCTAGTCATATGACTTCTGTTTTGTGCTTAGTTGTCTAGTTTAGATGGTGTTTTAGTCTCCTTATCAGTGGAATCATTTCATAAGTACAGTGCAGAGAATTGATCATTCAACCTGGAATCTTGACTGAGATGTTCTGAAGCAGCTGGAAGGAAGTACAGTCACCACCAAGTTATATATGGTGGTAGAAAGACTTCCAGAGACCATATCCTCCTAACTTACTGCATTATGTCAGATGGGGCCCTTTGTCTCCATGGGCTTTGGCTCTTTAAAAAGAGAGGAGAAATGCTGAGAACTCTTTTAGCTATAACATTCATTTCTCCCTCCTTGGTTCTTGAAACAGTGCTACTCAAATGTAGATCTCAAGTTTACAGATTGTGCTAGTTGGAGATGAAAGAAGCTTGCACCAGAAACCAATTATTAATGTTTCCGCCAGCTTATCTTTTGATTTTTTTTTTTTCTTGTGGTGCTGGACAGTGAACTCAGATCTTGCTTATACTAGGCAAGAACCCAACCACTGATCCATTTTTATTTCATTTTGAGACAGAATTGCACTGTGTTGGCCAGGCTGGACATAAAACTGCACTCCTCCTGCCTCACCCTTCTGAATAGCTGAGATTATAAATGTGTGCCACCATACCTGGCTACTAGCTAATATTGTTGCTGTAATTGTGTTCGCATAGCAAAACTGGTTGGTTGGTTGGTTGGTTGGTTGGTTGGTTGGTTGGTTGGTTGGTTGGTTGATTTGAAACAGGGTATCACTATGTAATGCAGGCTGACTTTGAACTCTTTTATGCAGGCCAGGCTGGCCTCAAACTCATGGTGATCCTCCTGTCTGCCTCAGCCTCCTGAAAGCAGAGATTATAGGAATGTGCCACCACACCCAGCTCACAGCAAAACATTTTGATGAGGAAAGTCAAAATAGCATTTGAGTTGCATTATTGTAAGATTTTTCCAAGAAGAGAAATGTATTGCTTAGGGACTCTCACTATCTCTATATTGAACTTATAACTTGCTTTATCAGTCTCAGCAAATATACATTGTCAAATGATGACTGTGTCTGCTTTTATTTCTAAAGGCCTTCTCAGTCCCCAGAGAAAGGAAGCACTGCAGAGATTAAGAGCAGAAATAGAAGTTTTAACAGATTCATGGTTAGGAACTGCATTAAAATCCTTACTTCTGATCCAATCCAGGTATGGAAATGATTCTTTTTAGGTCTCATCTTCTCAGACATTCATTCTTTCCTAGCCAGTGCAAGCTAGACCATTCTTTAAAAGTAGAGCTTGGGATAGAGGCAAGAATTTTAATGTTTATATGTTTCAGAGACATACTTAGGTGAAAAAAGCAGGGTCATTTTATGATATCAGCACACATGAGAATTTTAAGTGAATATTTATACATGAAGCCGTCTTTCCCTTTACTTTTTGCTCACAAACTAAAGTTTAATTTAGGACATGTAAAATCAAAGAATACAAGTAGGACACATATCGCAAATATCCTAAGTTACAAGAAGCTTCAAGAAATTACCCCCCCCAACCTACTCAAGAAGGGAAATTTCAAGAGAAAGGCTACATTAAGCAAGTTAAGGTGATTTCACCTTAAAGCTTACACAGAAAAATAAATGCAACCCTATAGATATCAGTCCCCTATTCTTCCCTCCCTCAAGGCAAGTATTCCAGATTCCCACAAAGCCTAGTACCCAGTAAACCTGAGACTGAGGGATGAATCTTGTGGAATTTCTGTGTGTTCTGCAGTCTCAGTTGCTGTTACATGAGCATCAGGAAGAGCTTAAATGCTATCTCATTTATAGGCTAAATTGCATTCAGGTCAAATAGAACAGTAATTGAGAGCTATCTTTTGTTTGCTAACATTTGATATCAGTGATATGATGTAGTGATATTTCCTGCCAAGTCACAGTAAACTAGACTGATTGGACAGGCAGTAAGGTGTGAATTATTAAGTTGCTGTTCTCATTTCACTAAGAAACAAATGAAAAACAAGATCCATGCTCTTTAATATGGAAATTAAAACTTGAAGTAATAAGAGTAATAACTGAACAATACTAGGCCCTTTAAGGTTACTTTTTAATAGTTAAATACTAGATTTGGTGCATTTCAATTCTTATTGCCAGGTTGGTTTCATTTTACCGTTTTTTTTTTTCTTTTCCTTCTTATTCCCTTCTAGGAAGAATTGTGTGAATGTTTTGATTACTACCACCCAACTGGTCCCAGCCCTGGCCAAGGTTCTCCTCTATGGACTAGGAGAAATATTTCCTATTGAAAACATCTATAGTGCTACCAAAATTGGTATGGTTTCTATTCTTTTTCCCATCACTAGCCTTACAGTAAAATATTCTACTTACGAATATATTGTTTGCCAGCTCCTCTCTTAAAGACACCTTGTATATGAAGTAATAACCATATAAGCCATATGATGTTACTGATGAGGCTTAACTTGCACAATAATTCAGAGCTAGTAAGTTACATAAATATGCTGCTTTCTTTTATAGTATTTGAAAGAATATAATTTCTACTTAGAACTCTTATTTTTACCCTTTCAAACTTCTGTTTCTCACAGAAAGTATGTAGTGTGATAGAAAAAACACTGGGTTAAAAAAATCAGAATAAATTATGTACTTAAAAATTCCTACCAAAAAAAACAGCAAATAGGTCCGGGGAGATGGCTCAGTGGTATAAGCGGTTCCCTGGCAAGCTCAAGGGCCCGAGTTCAGTTCCGCAAAAAAAAATGAAGAAGCAGGAGGTACGGAAAAATTGGAACTTTTGTGCATTGTTGGGATTATAGAGTGGTGCTGCTGCTATAGAGAACAGTATGATAATTCTCAAAACAATCAAAATAGAACTGTTGGGCCAGGGAGTTGGCTCAGTAGAATAAGTGCTTCCCTGGCAAGTGCAAGGGCCTGAGTTCAATCCCGGGTTCCACAAAAAAAGAAGAGAGAGAGAGGAAAAAAAAATAGAACTGTTGTAGAATGATCCAGTAATCCCACTTTTGGGGAAATACTCAAAAAAACTGGGTCTCAGAGTCTTGAGTTGTGTCCAAATATCCAGAAGCAGGACATCAAAAAAATGTATACCTATATATCCTTGTTCATAGCAGCATTATTCACAATAGCCAAGAGATAGAACAACCCAAGTGCATATGAGTGGATAAATGGATAAAGTGAGAGATTCCATACAGTAAGCTATTATTCAGCCTAAAAGGGAAAAACCCTGTCACATACTACAGCTTAGATGAACCTTGAAGATAATATGCTAAATGAAATAAGGCTGTCACAAAAAGACAAATGCTACATGATTCTACCTATGTATGGGATACTTAGAGTAGTGAAACCTAGGAACAGAAAGTAGAATAATGGTTACCCTGAGTGGGCAATAAGTAGGGAGTTAGTATCTAGTTGCTCTAGAATTTTAGTTTTACAAGATAATAAAATTCCAGGAATTTGTTGCCCAACAGTGTTGACTTTTTGAATTTTTAGCGAAGGGTCTACAAGGTGTTCAGGGTCTTTCTGCTAGATCAGACTCATAGTGACCTGCCTGTTTACAGCTTCCCAAGAGCTGGGATTACAGGCATTCACCACCACACCCAGTCTCGATTGCTGTCTCAGCATGCTCCAGGGGCAGGGCCAGCACAGCAAGCCCAATGTGACAATTTTTTTTAATTATTTATTTATTTTTATTTATTACATTTATTTATTGTGTGTGGCCAGCTCAGCCCACCAGGGGG